AATCTCGATGGTCGAATGACTGGACAAACAAACATGTGATCGTGGTGAACCCGATTTCCGGTCTCACGATGAAATCGGTTTTAGTAATCTGTTTTTATTTTATTTTATTTTCCCATGACAATTCTATTCCCAAGTAGTGATGTATATTGAGATTAACTATTCATTAGGTAAATTGGCAATACGACAGGCAGATACGATGCAACCTTTTTGTCGTTTCCAACATAATTCAACACTCTGCTCGCAACATTCCATTCTTCCCTCTGCTGTTTTATCCAAATGGGCAGTCATGAAACAGCAACCAAAACCGGCGGATGAAAATGCATATTTAATGATTTGTAAAACTTAGGTAAACTGAACACCAATCCTTGTACCTCAAATTTTTAACTACACACATTTTTTTAGTGAACAGCAAATGGGGTAAACCACATAGTCTCGTCGACCTGCTATTCAGTGGTCTAAACCGGCAACCTTAACTTCGGGACTTGGAGTGGCTAACTACATAGGCCCCCTTTAGGTTAGACGTTATCAAACTGGGCGACAGCAGAGCTACCTGTTTGTCACTGATCTAAAACCAACATACACTTCCTGCACACTACTGAATACCGTTTCACAAACTGTAGTGCTCATGTTTTCCCACCGCCTTGGAAGCAGTCTTTAGTTGAACTAAAGATTAGGTATATTTAGGCTTATTCGCCGGATTTGCGGTGTGACCGAGGTCTGACTGCATGTGAGCTAACAGGAAACGTGCATTCTATGTGTACTGAGCCGTTTTCTTTTTGAAGACTTGCTATCTACTGTGGTTCACCATGATGAGCAGCAGCAGGGAATGTCCAAGTCTATCTGCAGAGACCGTTTCATTTAGCGCACTACTTAGGGGTAACCCTCTCTCCCTCGGAAAATTCCTCTCAGACCATAACTGGCCGTTTGTCTTCATGTTGCCTAATAGACATGATCTCTTTTATGGTATCATTATTATATAAGTACCTTATCCGATCCCTCTACGTTGAAATTTTTCGACGCTGAATATACTTCTTCCCCATCGGCACATCGAAAAAGCGTGGGCTTCGGCTCTTGTAGTGAATACTAGATGTGATGCTTATTCTTAGAGCATACCTGCTACATATTCCTGTTATTCAGAAAGGAGTTTTGTTATTGTCTTTTCCATAGTTTTTATTAAGATATCATTGGACTCATCATCGCTTCACTGTATTACGCTGTACAATGATGATGATGACGTGATACCAGTCGAAGCTCCTCTGTGACTGCTTCGCCACTGATTATTCTGTTAAACACGAGTGGCATAGTCGGACGATTCATTTCCGACCATAAAGCATGGATACTCACGTTTTTCATAGGCGTGAGATCTGACGGCTATTAGGCAATGTAGAACATAGGTCTTTGTTATTATTTTGAACATAACAGGAAACTTCATGTTAATGCTCAACTGATAGGGAGACAACACCCGACTTTTCTTCAATTGTCCACATCAGCGCAAATGACACTTCTTTTGCTACGGTACTGATAACCGAGTAATCATAAAACCTATTAATAGGCTTACAACCGTAAACGATCATCGAAGTGAGCTTCGCGAATCATCCAAAAAGTCAAAAGACATGAACATGAAGATAATGTATCTGTTGATGATTGCCTAGGTGGATTGTTAGTTGCTTTCTGTAGTTACTTAGTCTTTATCCACGGTTAGAAAACGTCTTCATGAAGACCTTTTACCTACAGAGAACGTTAACGCCCCCGAGGAGTTGCCCTCTAAATAAGGCACCAAAAGATCTAACTTCCGCTATAATCGGTTTGCAACTGGGTCTTACGGTACCATTTCCTTACATTTTGTAAACAGGCTTCTTCAGCCTATGCAGCAAAATCAGTCCAGAAAGCCTCCCATTGCACAAAAATTGGTTTCCATTGGATAAAAGAATTCAAGAATGACATTTGGTACACGGGTAATATATCTTTTCACACTCGTTTGAATCCAGACTGTGCCAAAAAATCATGGTACAATAATACACAGGTAAAGAGCAGGAGAGAGGAGCACATTTAAAGAATAAC